GAGACAATTGGTACTCTGTCCCAGAATGCATTCTCCCCCGTAATTCCCGTCCCTTGCGATACTCTCTTCATGCCCGTGATCTCGTCTTTCCCACAATGCGCTCTCCCAAAACTCCTCTTTCTCTGCCATCGCCCCATGTTCCCACCACTTCATTTCTTTCCAGATACTCTCTTTCCAATATTGTCCTGCCCACAGTGCCCTCTCTCCCCCACAATTCCTCTCCTATCCCACAATTCTGTCCTTCAGCTTCTTGTCATTCCCACATGGCTCTGTCTCCCACAGTTCTCTGTAGTTTCCTGCAGCTCCCCTTTTCTCACACAGTTCTTGCCTCCCATAACCCTTTGTTTTTGCACAATTTATTGTTCTCTCCCACAGTTCTGTTTAATGCTCTAATTATTTTTCAAATTGCAACATAAATATTGTACAGTATTAGCTTAAGGTGTATAATATAGTAATTCAGCAATTTTATTTTATTTATTTATTTTTTAAGATTTTATTTATTTGCAAGAGAGAATGAGAGACAGAGAGCATGAGAGGGAGGAGGGTCAGGGGGAGAAGCAGACTCCCCGCCGAGCAGGGAGCCCGATGCGGGACTCGATCCCGGGACTCCGGCATCATGACCTGAGCCGAAGGCAGTCGCTTAGCCAACTGAGCCACCCAGGCGCCCAGTAATTCAGCAGTTTTAAAGTTTAGTGCTCATAAGTGTGCTCTTAATCTCCTTCACCCATCCCTCCACCCACCTCACCTCTGGTGACCACTAGTTCCTTCTACTTAAGAGTCTGGTGTTTTTGTTGGTCTCTTTTTTTCCTTTGTTTATTTTGTTTCTTAAATTCCACGATGAATGAAATCACATGCTATTGGTCTTTCCATGATTCATTTCACTTAGCATTATACTCTCTTGTTGCAGATGGTAAGATTTTATTCTCTTTTTTTTTTTATAAAGATTTTATTTATTTATTCATGACAGACAGAGAGAGAGGCAGAGGGAGAAGCAGGCTCCCTGCAGAGCCGGGAGCCCGATGCGGGACTCGATCCCGGGACCCTGGGATCATGACCTGAGCCGAAGGCAGACGCTTAACCATCTGAGCCACCCAGGCGCCCCGATTTTATTCTCTCTTAATGGCTGTATAATATTCCATTGTAGGTATATACCACGTCTTCTTTATCCATTCAAGTATTGTTGGATGGTTGGGTTGCTTCCATAATTTAGCTATTGTAAATAACGTTACAATAAACACAGGGGTGCATATATCTTTGAAAATTAGTATTTTTTAAATTAGTGTCTTTCAGTATGGAGGTTTCCCAAAAGTTAAAAATAGAACTACCCTATAATCTAGCAATTGCACTACTAGGTATTTACCTAAAGTATACAAAAATACTAATTCAGAGCGATACTTGCACCGTGACGTTTAGAACAGCATTATCTGCAACAGCCAAACCACGGAAACAGCCCAAGTGTCCACTGACTGATGAATGGATAAAGAAGATCCAAGGGAGTATTACTCAGCTATTCAAAAAAAATGAAATCTTGCCATTTGCAATGACATGGATGGAGCTAGAGAGTATTATGCTAAATGAAATAAATCAGAGAAAGACAAATACCATATGATTTTGCTCATCTGTGGAATTTAAGAAACAAATAAGCAAAGGTAAAAAATAAGAGTGAGAAATCCAGATACAGACTCTTAACTATAGAGAACAAACTGATGGTTTCCAGCAGGGAGGTGGAGGGAAATGGATTAAATAATGATGGGGATTAAGGAGGGTGCTTGTGGTGATAAGCACCAGGTGTTGTATAGAAGTGTTCAATCACTAGATTGTACATTTCAAACTAATATTATGCTGTGTTAACTAACTGGAATTTAAATAAAAACTTAAAAATAAACATTAGCAGGGCACCTGGGTGGCTCAGTCGGTTGAGCGTCTGCTTTTGGCTCAGGTCATGATCCCAGGGTCCAGGGAGTTGGGCTCCCTGCTCAGTGGGGAGTCTGCTTCTCCCTCTCCTTCTGCTGCTCCCCCTGTGTGTGCTTTCTGTGTCAAATAAAATGTTAAAAAAAAAAAAATTTAAGCAAAAAAAAAAAAAAATACTGCCTGTTTATCCCACAATTCTTCATTCTCCCCCACCCTTGTCCTTTCTCACTAGTCCCTGTCTCTCCCATAATACATTTTTTTCCTACAGTTTCCTTTGTTCTCCCTAATGCCCCTTTCTCGTTATCTTTTATCATTCTCACAATTCCCCTTTCATTGCCATGATCTTTGTTTTTCCCACAGTGCCCTATTTTTCTCATCATCCCTCTTTTCCCACAATTCCCCTTTCTCCTCTATAATCCCTTTGTTCACATAATTCCATTTCTGTCCTACAATTTTCCTTCCTTTTCCATAATCCCTGGTCTCACCCACAGTCTCCTGTCTCTTGTGCAAATCCTTCTCTCCCATAATCCCCTTTGTCCTACAGTGCCTTGTCTCTCCCACAATTTTCCATACTCTCTACGGTCTACTTCTCTCAGTTCACTTTCCCACAATCTTCCACTTTCTCCCACAATTCTGGATTCTTTATTGTCGCTCACAAATCTGTCTTTTTCTACAATGCTGTTTTCCTCCATGCCCTGTCTTTCCTAAAATTGTTTCTTCTTAAGTACTCTGCTCTTCCCCACAATTCCTTCTCCCACCATTCTTTATTCTTCCCCACAGTTCTCTGTTCTTCCCCACAATACTCCATTTTTGCCACAATTCTCTCCCTTAGTTTTTCATGCTCCCTCACAACTCTGTCTCTTCCAATTCCATTTCTCTCCTACAGTTCCCCATTCTCTCCAGAATTCCCGTTCTTTCCCACAGTTCTGTCTCTCCTATATTCCCTTGTGTCCTCCACACTTGTTTTGTCCACAGTTGCCTATCACTACCGCAATTCCTTATCTTAGCCTTCATTCCCTGTTGTCACTTGCCCGCCTGAATGTAACACCGGGTGGCCCCGTGGATGGCAGCTGCTGGGGAAGTGTGGAAGAGAACATACCCCAGGCCTCTCACTCTCGTGCCCTCCCTAGATCAAAGTCAACACCTTGAAGGTGATCCAGGCCCAGGTGTCTGTGTTCTCTGCGGCTCATGGGTGCCCACGGATTGGGCTTTTGGATCGAGGGCTTTTAAGGAATCCAGGAACGATAGGTGAGGGTGCAAGAGACACCCAGTGTGCTTTCCTAGATCTTGGATCTGTGTGGGGCCAGGAAGTTCCCAAGAACCTGCCTGGGCTGGCAGGGCTCGTCAGAGAGGGACTAGGAAGGGGGCTGGCCCTTGGGCATCATGAGCTTGCTGGCATCTGCATATCCTGCAGGGACACTCGTCAGGTATTCATACTGTGGACCAACAGAGAATTAGTACAAATCCCCCAATGGCCTCATTGGATTATCATGTCAGAGACTTGCTCAGCCAGCACATTCCCTCTTTCTATGGAGACCTTTAAGACCAGAAGAGAAAACCCATGGGAATGCAGGCCTGCTGGCAGGCCCTCAACCACAGGGACCACAGTGACGTCAGTGCAGGCTGTGCTGGGCTCAGGTGGCTTGGCTCTTTGGCATCTGAGAAAGCTGTTAGGGTACAAATGCATTTTCTCCATGGAGCCCCAGGGGAAGGATGAAAGAACCGGGAACTCTTAAAAAGCTACAGGATCCAGAGCATGCCCTGAAGTGTGAGGTCACAGGGGGGAGTGTCCTCAGCCCAGACCTTGATCACAAGCCACCATGTGATAGCCCCCCCCGAGTCTTTGAAAAGACCACAGAAGTCACACACAAGTTCCCATGAGCTCAGGACGTCCTCATAAACAGGGGGTGACCCTGTGAAAATCGAATCTTTTTGAAGTGCCACCAGGTCCTGCAGCAGCAGTGCAGTCTTAGACGTGTCTTCTAGAAGCCTTCGCAGCTGGTGCCTGGTCTCCTGGAAGAGCAGGCTCCCCGCCCCGACTGCGGGTCTTCTCCCACCATCCTTCTTGGCGACCCCAATTCTCAGGATCCAGCTGTAGGTTCTGTGACCATAATCAGTCCTTCCACCCGCCTTCTACATTGCCCCGTGTTTGTAGCGCTCATGACACAGAGTCTGACGTACTCAGACCCGTGCTCTCCCAGACTCCTCCTGATCCAGCCCCGGGAGGAAGCTCTGACCACTGGTGTGAGTGTGCGTGGCTTTAGATAGGGTGTCCTGGCTTTCTCCCTGAGCATGAGGGAACACTTGAGTTGAGACCTGGAAGCCGAGAATCCTACCGCTGAACAACCACTGCCATTTGAATTGAGATCTGAATGAACTGTAGAAGGGAGCCGTGAGAAAATCTGGAAAAGCTTTACAGGCAGAAGTGATGTGCAAAGGCCCTGTGGTAGAACTGGGCTGGCAGTGTGAGAGGCCTGTGTGCCTGAGCGTTGTGAGTGAACAGAGTGTGACGTGAGTGGAGACTCCAGTGACCAGCAAGGCCCATTGGTGGATGGAGTTCGGGATTTGGAGATACTCATGAAGGGCAGTCCCTTGCCCCATGCACGGGTGAAAAGGCCGCCCTTCTTCGTGTCTTCCATGTGAGTGTTCCTCTAGGTTGTACGTACCTGGTGCACAGCACGCATGTCTGGATACTTGTGGAATGAAAGAACAACTGTAACGTCTGTTCCAAAGGATCCGCTCAGGTTCTGAAGGAAGGTGTGTTACTGGCAATGGTTCAACAGACCTTCGGGATTACGCTGTTGGCGGGAGTAATTTCCCTGATGGGCACCCACTCCCCGCCCCCCGTGATCCCGTGCTCCCCACCTGCGACAGCACAGGCTCCAAAGCCTCCCTGTGTCCGCAGCCGGTTTCCATTTGATCTACAGCATCCCTGTCGTTCGGCCGAGACACACATGTAGCCACCGGTGCGGAGGCCTGGAAGAAGGGATGCGGGGGCTGAAGATGGCCACGGAATGGTGCATTGGTGACCCGTGAGAGACCCTCAGGGACATCGACACCGTCACAGTCTTTTCTCTTTTCCTCCCCAGGTTCTGATGCCAGCACACTCGAAATCCATGTCGCAAGTGTGTCCCGCAACGAAAATGAGGTTTACTCTGTTCCCAAACCCCAGGGAGACCTATGAGAGGGATGGGACAGGAGTCCAGACACCATGTGCTCAGGCTCTGCATTTCTCGTTCTTTAGAACTGTGTTCTCCCCCAAATCTTGTCATCACCCTGTTAGGGTTTCTTCCCGAGGAATGTCTCTGATGAGAGAGGATCCATGAGCATGATTGGGAACAGGAGGAGAATTCCTTCCAGACCGGACACACAGCAGCTTCTCCAGACTCTTAGCTGCCCTTGGTTTTTCTGAGGCTGGCTACTGTCATGTAAAGGTCGGATCCAGGTCTTTAGAAAAGTCAATAAAATAAAGTAGTTGTAACTGAGCTCCCGGCCTGACTTGCATGCTGTCTGAACACCACCTCTAGCAAATGCTCTTGAGCAAAGCCCTGATGATACCGGATACAGCAGGGTAGAGAAGCGGCAGGACCAACGGGGCAGCCGGGGTGACTGCACAGCGTGCCCTTCACGTGCCCTTCACACGCCCCTGGGGGCAGGGAAGGGGCCAGGTCTCCATCACTCATGTAGCTGTCGGTCCCCATGCTGTACTGAGCAGTGACATAGTCTGAGAAAACCTTGGGACCTGCTTTAGATCATTGCCGAGGTTGGAATCCATCTATCAGTGGAATCTGTATAGATTTAAAAGTTTTTAATGTATTTTTTACTTACTGGCAAAAGTACTGTAGTGTGCGTTGGCGTTGCGAGCCACCTAGGTAGGTCTGTAGAAAACCAAGACGCGGTTTTCTTGGGACCCTGCAGACAGCTCTGCCACACGACCCCTCCCTTCATGTCAGCCAACTCCCGTTTGCTCTAGGAAAGCTGTCTAGGAAGCTTCTAGAGTTGTACTTCTGGAGAGTCACTTGGTTGCAGATGGGCTTCAGGGCAGCACCCTTGGACTGTGACCGCGGTGCCCAGGGCCGTGCATTCCTGAGGATGGACCTCTGTTAGATCACACCCACTGTGATCCAGAGGGCCAAGGAGGTGTGGACGCTTAGCGTTTCGGAGTGGAGCTGCCTTCTTACTCTGTCGACCTTCGGTCTCCCCCAGCGTCAGAAGCCCCCCTTCCGCGTGAGGATTCCCCCAGTGGCCTGAGGCCAGCCCACCCCCACCCCAGAGGCAGAGATGCCATCTCCTCGCTTTCCCGGCCTCCCTGACACCCGCAGCAGGACGTAGGACCTGGCAGCCAGACCCCCCTCCCAAGTCCAAGTTAGAAGCCAGTGTCCAAGGGAATGGCCTGACAGAAGCACGTGTGAGGGGTTGGCGGCAGTCACGCCCGCTTTGGAAGCAGCTTGGGTGCTTTCAGGGGCCACAGTCCGGCGTCCAGTGTCACCGTGTGGGCAGCGCCCGGTGCTGTGTGTGCGTGTGTTCCCTGCATGCAACCGATCCCAAGCCTGATTTTGGCTATTCTCGTCTGTGTGGCCTCCAGTCTGCTCCTCCGGAGATTCCTCGGAGGGCCCAGTACCCTCATTCATTGCTTTTGGCTTACACTGGCCGGAGTCAGGTTCAGAAGCTTGCAAATAAGACCCCTGTCTGATGGGATGATCCAGCTACAACTCCTAGATGGGGTGTTCATGTCACCTGGGGAGGGGGGACAGGGAGCCGGAAGGTGCATGAATCCCTCCTCACGCCTCCTTGGCAGGCACCGAGCAAGCCCATGGATGCACTGGGAGCACGCGAGTGAGGATCCGACACGTAGCGTATCAAGTCACTCCAGTGAGGAGAGCGAGCCGCCCAAAGGAGTAAGTGAGAGAACGGCGGGCAGCCTGGTTTGAGCAATTTCCCAGTCAGGCTGGTTGCTGCAGGGGGGCCTCGTTACTGTGCTACAAAACTCGGGGGTGCGAAGGGCAATGATCCAGCGGAGAGAAAGCAGTCCTGATGATGGGAGAGAGGTTTCCATGAAGGCGCGGCACCTGGGACCCACGAGTCTGGGCTGGCTGGACACACACAGGCGGTCGTAGCTGGGGCATAGTGTGGGTGGAAGGATGAGGCGGTGCCTACCAGGAAGCTTCCGTGTGATTTTAGTTTATTGGCCAGTTTAGGAGCCAGTCGATTTATCACGCCTTAAAATACCTTTTGAGGACTCTGCTCGCATCCCCTATTCTAGGAATGCCCTCATGTTCATGCACAGCGTGCAGTCTGGAGAGAATGTATCCCAGCCGGCTGTTTTTTTCCTGTGGTTTCCCCCAGTCGCTTTGGCTTGACGAAAACTATAGGTTCCTGGTCTGAGCCCCCCATTCTCCAGAGCATCTAAATGTTGGCGGAAGGTAATTCCGTGCAGAGCGGTGTCCCGCGCTCTCCCCCACCATCCCCACGCCCTGTCCACGTCCTGCTCTGGGTGGAAATGCGTCCCCTTGTGGGCCTTACCTTGTCATGGATGAGACATTTCAGAGGAAAAGGAGACTGGAAAAAAAAAATATATATATATCGGCCACGTTCTGAGTGGTTTGTAAGGGATACACGGCACTGCTTCCCACGTCCTCCTACCCCTTCTCACGCAGCTCAAGGCGGCGTCCAGGTCTCTGTCGACAGTAACCACACCCAGCACACACAGGTGCCCAGAAACCTTCCCACAAGCACGAAGAACATTCGCCAATATCCTCGAGGAACCGCATCACGATGCGGACAGGTGACGTTCTGTTGGTGACCGCAAGCTGCAGATGCCCTCAAGTAAAATGAAGTCCAGCTTCTTACAAAGAACCCCGTTTAAAGCTGTGTGTTCCCACCAAAGCCACACATCCCATACGCCTCTATCCCGGGGACCCTGACCCGCGCTGTTCTCCCCACTGCCGTGCTTGCTACTAGGTTCTCCCCAGGACCTTCCTGTGGCTCTCACGTGGTTCACCCCCCGACAGCACTGGGACCCCAGTCCTCCGCTTCGTTCTAGTGCAGGATCAGGTTGGAATTGGCGGGAAGGACACCGTGACCTTCCTGGTGACTCGCACAGCGAAGAAGGACTTGTACAACACTCTGCCTCTCCTCCTCACGGGCCTCCTCCCTAGTGCTGGGTACAGCAATGCCCAGTCATCCTGTAACACCCAGCAGCCGATTAAGGTGGCACCTCGGCATGTGACACAGAGCACGTGTCGGTCAGCATTTGTGGACCGTTGGTCTGCGTCGCCGAGTCTCCCATGTGCCTGTGACTATGGGCTCCTCCGGTGGCTCAAAGCCAGTCCCTGAACTCCGAATCCCAGCAGACCCACCTGCTGCTAAGACTCCTCTGCTCGGACTTCTTACAGCCGCCAGCCTGGAACAACGTAATGACGAAGGAACACGTGGAAACGCGCCCCCGTTATGGAGCCTCCAACAGTAAGCAGGGCCTGGTGTTCCTCACGCATCGGCCGTCCCGTTCCCTGGGCCCTGTGTCAGCAGAGAGGTCCCGGGAAGAGGCACTCGAGTTGTGAGAAAACGCACAGTGGCGTCTTCATCCATCCGTGGCACCGTGGGCCCGAGAGTTAACCCCGCGAGAGCAAGAAAGCACACCCACCGAGTTCTCTAGTATCAAAATAGAGCGATTTATTCAAGACACTGAGTATGATCTGTTGATTTTCTCTTGAAACAAATGAGCTACAACACACAAGGTGATTCTTTTTCTCAGAGAGCATGAGGGTGAGTGAGGGTGGAGGAGAACCAAACGGGGGTCGATGTGGATGGAACAGAATCTAGAAAATGCAGACAGAGGACCACATCTGGCTGTACGTCTGACACAGACAATAAAAACTGCAGAAGCCAGAATTCAAAAACCTCAGTGAGTGGCGGAAGGAACATTTCTGCATTTGACAAGAAACACGATTAAAATAAAAAAGAAAAAGGTGGAACAGAAGGCTAAAAATAACAAAGCAGACCCTTACATTTGACAAAGTGCACTTCACTCGGCTCCGTGATCGAGGTTTAGAAAGACGAACGTCAAGTCCTAGGTGTCGTGTGGGGTCAGAGGGTGGACACCCTGTCACGGACGGCCCTCGCTCCCCCTGCCGCGGGACAGCATCCCTCTCCCAGGTGGGCGTGCGGGACACGCTCTTGGTCACTCGAAACCCAACCGAAGATTCTGCAAAGGATCGCGTTACTCTGATTTCAGAATTAAGGTTCCATTTGGTCACTAAGACAAGCATTTACCCACAATTCCTCAGAGCTGGAAACAAAGGACAAACAGGAACTTCACCCACGGGCCATCCCTCGATGACGGAGATGAAGCTGCCGGCTTTCTGGCAGAGGGCGAGTGTCGCAGGCTCGATGGCTGGTGGTCGTTGTGCTGAGGGTGGGGATGGATGGAAGGGGCGCTGCCCGCCCGCTCCTGGTTGGTCCCTCTTCAGGCCCATGGGGAGCTGCTCGGCAACGGCTGCTCGGGGAAGCTAGGGATGCGGACAGTGGGCCTTTGTCCTCACCAGCTTCACTCCTGCACACAGCGGCCAAGCCTGTGTTGTGCGTGGCCTTCCAGCCCTTGGCTCCTACCTCATCGTTCCCAAGTGACTCAGAGTCACCAGGAGGCTAAGGACTGGGCTCCTGACCTTCCTGTGAAGATTATCTACTGAACCCCTTACAGGATGTCTCGCCATGGCCACCCAACAGCGTCTGACTTGTCAAACACAAGCCATGTCCCGACCGCGGGCCACCCCTCAACAACTTAAGCTCTGTAGAGGTGACATTTTTACTTGGGGTAGGGAGTTGAGATGGTGTTGGTCTGGATCCCCAACTAACTGCACCCCAAACCTAATGATGTCTTGGGGCCAGGCAATGAATCATCTGCTATCTTCAAAGATGGGAGTGGTGACTCCACGGAACTCTGACCCCTGGGCTAAGCATTTAGGTAACAGAACCAGAATAAAATACCCAAGTCAGACACAGAGCACTTTGGTCTCGTGTAGACAGGGCGTGAATGACTCCGATATCCAAGCCAATTAATGATCTGAGAAGAATGAACACACTCTAGTCTTTGTAGCTGGTCCCGGCCCATTCCAAGTTCTGTAGGAAGGCCTTGCCCTGCCCTGCCCGTTGGGTTTTGGCTGCATGGACGGAGGCCACCCTCGAACATCCTGTCTCATTGCTGGAACACACACCCAGCTGACACCTGCCCACGACCGGACCCCCCACCCCCAGGCCTGGCCAACTTCCTCATCTCTTCCTGTGCCCGCTGGGAAACAGAGGAGACAAGAGGCCTTATCTTTCGGTTCTTCCCCATTGTTCACTTCAAAACGAGGTCCCTGTCGGGTTGTGACAAGACTACAAAGGTCACCTGATCCAATGAAAGGAAACTCCTCTAGGAACACAAAGCCATGTTTAATTTTTTAAAAACAGTAAAAAGATTCATTATTTAAAAAAAAAAATCTTT